ATGCTCAGAGTAGGACCCTCAGAGCATGCTCAGAGTGGGACCCTCAGAGCATGCTCAGAGTGGGACCCTCAGAGCATGCTCAGAGTAGGACCCTCAGTGCATGCTCAGAGTAGGACCCTCAGAGCATGCTCAGAGTACATGTAGCGTGCTCAGAGTAGCACCCTCAGTGCATGCTCAGAGTAGGACCCTCAGAGCATGCTCTGAGTAGGACCCTCAGAGCATGCTCAGAGTAGGACCCTCAGAGCATGCTCAGAGTAGGACCCTCAGTGCATGCTTCAGAGTAGAGCCGACGTAGTGTACCACATTTTTTTTCTGTATCTGGTACCCGTAACTTGTTCTCTGGAATTGGGAAATGGCACCGGCTGAGATAATTTTGAGAGGGGTATCATTTTCTACACTCCATGAAATCTTAACCAAGTTTTATCAACCCGAAATCTCTCAGACTCTTTAAAACTCCTATGGGAGCTTTTCAAGGACTTTTAGGATTCGCTCAGTGCTGTTCTGCTATTTTAGATGGGATTCATGGTCCCTTGAATTTAAATGTTCTAAGGAGTGTGCCATTGTTTCTTGCACATTGAAGATGTTGGTATATTTGGGCGCTGCGCAGTAAATGTGTTTATTTACCCCAGCCTTGGTGCAAGTATGAAGACCTAAGTTAAGTGTTTACGACTATTCTCTCAAGTATGAAGGCTGCTGAATCTGTCAGGATGTGTTAGCTAAAACAAAAGTTCACTTCGCAACAAAATAACTAAACAAGTTTTGGTTGTCAACCTATTTTGGTTCAGCAGGCTCATTGATTCGGATGAGAAATTCACTTGAAATGAGTTCCATTTTCAAAATAAAACCATGCAGAGTTCAACTGATTTATAAAAGGCCCAAAGCCAGTGGTATTTTTTAAGCCTCTGCTGTCAAATTGATAAAAATAGGTTGAAATTGCCCACTATGTACAATTCTCGCGTGGCCTGGCTGACTGATGTTTTATTGAAACCTGCAGCCCGATCTTCAAGATGGCGAGAACGGATTCACAAACGGGCACACTGGGGAGGATGTTGATGAAGAGAGAGATGAGGATGAGGGCATGCACAGCAGTCCTGCCGACAGACCAAACCCTCCTACCTCGGAATTAACAAGAGGCCAAAAACGGTAGATTCACATTGTTGGATTTTCCTTGGGGATGATGTCTGATGGCATGGCATGGCCCAATTTGGATGTCTGCTTTTCCAAAATTGGTGAAAAATAACTTGCCAGTAAAAACCAGGTTCGTGAAGGTATCAGGATGTCCAATAGAGCTTTCCGGGTTCATTATTTACAGATTCGTTGCCTGAAATCTTTATACATGCCAAAAAGGGGAGAACAGTCTGCTTTATTACTAATGGTTACAATATTTATCAGAGAAGTGACAGAATACCTCAGTATTAGACACTTGTTTGATGAAAAGGTTTTGCTTCCAGGTTGGTTGGTTGGTTTAGTTTTAGAAATCAAGCTTCTGCAGAATCTCTCAATGAACCGGTTCCAGTGAATGCTGTAAAAAACGCCCCGTAAACAAAACTTGTGACTTTCATCACTGTTGACTGGCTCATTGTTCACCCTTTAGCAGATTTTTGTTTAACATATACATTAAGATTTGCTTACTACTCTTCGCTTAATGGAAGTGCAGTGGGCTCACAGCCTGCAACATTAAGTGAATTTCACGTTGGGAAAGTGCTACCTGATGGCTTCATTTTGTTTCTCTGCAGAAAGCTCAGTACAAGTGAAAGTGGTACTTATACGCATAAAGAGGGTGAGTACGTGTTCGTATTTTGAACCCCCCCCATTTCTGTCCTTAAGCATTTTGAAAATTATGAAGACCCCCCTACACACTTTGGCACCACCAGTAGCTGATCATTATGTGTCACATACAATACGCAAGGAGGGTTACGGGTAGTGCTGTAGTCGACACCACTTAAGGCATTCACAAGACCACACAAAATCAACACAAAACTTCCAGTCAGAATTCAAGTCACAAGCTATTCAAATGAACTGCAACAAAAGCATTCCTGTGTCATTGTTCACACTATTGCTTGTGTCTGGTCTTGTGTGTGGTCCTGTGATGGTCTCGACTACAACGCGGGTTACGGCATGTACGGGGAGCAAAAACATATGAATCATGGTCAGTGCTCAATTTGTTTTAAAAAAATCACTTCCATATTTTATGTATCTCATGTCATTGAACTATGCAGTTGAATTTGGTTATCAACCAATATGTTGGGTGAGTGAGCTATCTTACACACAGTGTACTGGTATATTAAAAGGCATGCTGAAAGCAAACTGTTTATGTGAATAACGTGTCTTTTTGGCTNATGCTCAGAGTAGGACCCTCAGAGCATGCTCAGAGTAGGACCATTACTGCCACTATTGCCCACTGTGTACAATTCTCGCATGGCCTGGCTGACTGATATTTTATTGAAACCTGCAGCCCGATCTTCAAGATGGCGAGAACGGATTCACAAACGGGCACACTGGGGAGGATGTTGACGAAGAGAGAGATGAGGAAGAGGGCATGCACAGCAGTCCTGCCGACAGACCAAACCCTCCTACCTCGGAATTAACAAGAGGCCAAAAACGGTACATTCACATTGTTGGATTTTCCTTGGGGATGATGTCTGAAATGTTAGGAGTTATTGCATGGCCCGATTTGGATGTCTGCTTTTCCAAAATTGGTGAGAAATAACTTGCCAGTAAAAACCAGGTTCATGAAGGTATCAGGATGTCTAATAGAGCTTGATTCGTTGCCTGAAATCTTTATACATGCCAAAAAGGGGAGAACAGTCTGCTTTATTACTAATGTTTACAATATGTATCGGAGAAGTGACAGAATACCTCAGTATTGGGCAGGTTGATGGACACTTGTTTGATGAAAAGGTTTTGCTTCTAGGTTGGTTGGTTGGTTTATTTTTAGAAATCAAGCTTCTGCAGAATCTCTCAATGAACCAGTTCCAGTAAATGCTGTAAAAAACGCCCCGTAAACAAAACTTGTGACTTTCATCACTGTTGACTGGTTCATTGTTCACCATTTAGCAGATTTTTGTTGAACGTATACATTAAGATTTGCTTGCTACTCTTTGCTTAACCCTAACCCTCCTCAATCCTTCACCTGTTGGAGGACTGAGGAGTGTTAGGGTTAATGGAAGTGCAGTGGGCTTACAGCCTGCAACATTAAGTGAATTTCACGTTGGGAAAGTGCTACCTGATGGCTTCGTTTTGTTTCTCTGCAGAAAGCTCAGTACAAGTGAAAGTGGTACTTATACGCATAAAGAGGGTGAGTACGTGTTCGTATTTTGAACCCCCCCTCATATCTGTCTTTAAGCTTTTTGAAAATTATGGGGACCCCCCTACACATTTTGGCACCACCAGTAGCTGATCATTATGTGTCACATACAATATGCAAGGAGGGTTACGGGCAGTGCTGCAGTCGACACCACTTAAGGCCTTCACAAGACCACACAAAACTTCCAGTCAGAATTCAAGTCACAAGCTATTCAAATGAACTGCAACAAAAGCATTCCTGTGTCATTGTTCACACTATTGCTTGTGTCTGGTCTTGTGTGTGGTCCTGTGATGGTCTCGACTACAACGCGGGTTACGGCATGTACGGGGAGCAAGAACATACGAATCATGGTCAGTGCTCAATTTGTTTAAAAAAACCACTTCCATATTTTATGTATCTCATGTCATAGAACTATGCAGTTGAATTTGGTTATCAACCAATATGTTGGGTGAGTGAGCTATCTTACACACAGTGTACTGGTATATTAAAAGGCATGCTGAAAGCAAACTGTTTATGTGAATAACGTGTCTTTTTGGACNAGGTATGGCTCACCCACTAAAGAAACAGGAAGTCAGTGAGCGAAGGGTGGTGAAGTATTCTGATATCACGAAAGAGGACCTGGAAAGGTGAGTTATCGTGCAAACAGATCGCGTGTGGATGTGATGCGAACCTTGTGCTGCCAAAATTAACTGTCTTAATGAGAAAAATTCTTATTTCGGGAAATGTTTCTTACTAGATAAACAAATGTTTCCGAGAAAAGGTCTTCTTGGAAAAATACTTTCTTCAAGTTATTTTCAAGTTATCCATATTTCCTGTAAGCATTTTTTTCATGTTAATCAAATTTTATCAAATGATTATAGCCAATTTCTTGTCCGTCTTCTGGACAGATGAGCAGTTGAAAAAAGTTTAAAAATTTGAAATCCAAATAAAAAGTGCTGAGACTTTGTTAATACAAACCTTACATATCCTGTTCTTTTCTTCTAGGAGTCCCAATACATTAGTTGAGTGTCTTCCATTTAATTCTGTTGGTAGAATGCAACCTTTCACTGTCTCAACTACAACAAATTGCCTTCTTGTTATGGTAAGACCTTCCCTCCTATTTTCCCTGAGTCATTTGAAAAAAATAATGATCCAAAGCACCGGATGCTCAACTTTGCTACCTATTTGAACCTCGGTGTAAGTTTTTAAACTGACGCACCCATAGATGGTGACTTTTCACTTATTTCCCATTTTTGCTTCTCCATAAGGATTTCCACTGCCATCTGACTACCAGTGAAGTTGTCGGTTACCTAGCAGGGAAATGGGATCCAAGTACACAACGTGAGTATGCTTAGTGTTCACCAACCAACCTGACAATCCTGGTCTACGATAGACCACAAGATTGGCCCTGTCACCACGTCAGAACATTTTTGAAGTTGGATAACCTCAGGTGCTTTGTTTTTTAATGATCTTAGCTTTTCGAGATACTGAATATTGGACTTTCCCCGGGAATAGCAGTGCCTAGGCTGTGCTGTTTTTAACCCATCACAATGCTGCAAACTTTTGTTGTTGGATTTTGGAATATTTTTTCTTTTTGTTTTTTTAGTGATTGTTTATATTAGCAGGGCATTCTCATTGACTCACACGCCTCCAGCATTCATTCACCGTTGTCTTAAAAGGCAATGAGTACAACACTGAGCATTAGTAGTTGGCAAACCTTCAAAGGTTTGGTGAATGGCAAAAAGCATGTGAAAAACACAAAGCCAGGAAGTCGGGCTGAAATGGCAGGATGAAGCCCACACATGGCTCAGCTGGTGACTGTTATACCATTTGATAAAGAATTTACCATAATTTTGCTTGAAAATAAACCTAGTTTACAGGGTTGCCGACCAAATGCTTACCTGCTGCAATAAGCCTTTTGCGAGTTAACGTTGATCAAAATCTGGTACACTGAGTTCTTTAAAGGAACCAGGAAATAGATATAGTGTTATAAATTTTGCTAAAAACCCTTGAAATTGCATCTTTGGGTTTCAATTAACCTCATTTAAAATTTTTGCTTTGCAATTTTAACCAATATTTTGATGCTTTATTGGTTTTATGCGAATGCCATTTGCATAATCATGAGCAGAACTATGATGTCATCCAAGGCACTGAATTTCAATGTTGCTGTGATTTGTGCACATAAAATTTCTAGATTCTTTTAACCACTGCTGTGGCAAATTTTATTTTCTTTGGCAATTTATTGCTGTGTAAGTATATGGCAATAATCCAGCAAAAGTCCTTTTCACAGAAATGTTTGAGAGAGCAAATTTGGGGTTCACAATTTGAGCATAAAAACATGAAACCTGAACCGTGTCTTCGTGGAGTTACATCAAATCTAACTCCCAAATGACTTATTGGGGCTGATCTCTGCATAACCATTTTGTGGTGTGGTACTTGGAATAGAAGTCTGTCTTTCCTCCACAGACATGTCCGTTCTACAAGCATATCCATGCAGATGTCGACTAGGCGACAAAACCAAGGCTTCCGTTGTTGAAGAGGAGGTGTGTTGAACTTGCTGAAATTCATTTTGTGTTATTTGTATTTTTCATTTGTCATAGTGTTTAATTCACTGAGTCATTACCAGTGTTACTGTGAGTATTTAATTGCTGGGGTCCTTTGAATGCTGTGTGTATATATATATGTGTAGTGCCATGTTTGGATCAGATTATAACGAAAACTAAAATATGTGATCATCTGTCAATATTTTCAAAGATTCGGCAAGCAATAGCATTACGGGGTCTACAGTTGGTCGGCTGGTACCACAGCCATCCCTGCTATCCGGCCCAGCCCTCGTTGAAAGACATACAGACCCAGATGGATTACCAGCTACAGATGAAAGGAGAGGGTACGGTCTATCAGCCCTGCCTGGCTCTTATATGTGGTGAGTGGCAAGTGCATTCATGTATACAACTCTCAAATTGTAAACCGAGTCTTGCGGGAGTCAGTGGCACACGTTAAGAATGAGTTTGTCTCATTTCATTTGAGTAATTTTTTTCTTGGCCGGGGCCTGGATTGGGTTGACCGGTGATTGACATCTTACGATTGCAATTCTGAATGATTTGGGCCTCACTCCAGTAGTGTACAATGTTTGTGTAACTACTGCAGTACTGTCAGAGTTGGACATTTGTATTTGGCTACTTTACGTAGTTTTTTTCTGTAACACCTGATTAAAGCCTTAAAATCATTTACCATGTACGTGGTCCAGTATTCTTACATGCTTTGAATGTATTTTAACCAAATACATCCCTCGAGCAGTGTGGTATAGATTCCCATGATCTCTAGTCTGAATTCAAGTCCCAAGCTATTCAAATGAACAGTTAACATTCATCAGTCATTGTTCGCTCTCTTACTTGTGACTGGTCTTGTAATGATTTTGTATCTACTCTAGCATCTCATCCTGTGATTTTTCTTGACAACACCGCCCCCATGCATGTGACCTAAGCACTTACCCAAAGATAGCTTGAAAGAATTCCAGAGAGTCCAGGAGAGTAGTGAACATCAGGTTAGATACCGACCTCTACAGCATAAACCACGTCATTTCAGTTTATTGCAATGAAAAAAATGTTTGTTTGCAGCACCGTTCAACTTGAATAAGCGGCAGAAAGAGTCAAGTCTCAAAGCCTTCTGGGTGATGCCACAAATAGAGGTTAGTGGTTGACATTGCTCTGATGTCATGTCTCAGGCACACTGTAATAGAAAAAATATGTCCCAAACATGCATGGACTTTTTCATGTGCAGCATAGCGTGCCACACTGTACTTTTTATCATTTGCAAACCAAATGTAATTGATTTTCTATTTTGAATGTGTTTTGTTATGTTGATAAGTTCTTGTATGTATTTGCACTAATCATGAGATATGTTGGGCAGTTGGTCATTTGTTATCATAATCATAAAGTTATTGGTAACAGACAAACCTGATATTTTTTTCCATTGCTGGGCATTGCATTGGAATTGTATCGCAAAGCCATTCTTTATATTTTTGTTTTCGTCCTCTTCGGTACATGTTCCGTGTCCTGTCCATTTGCATTTGAATAGGGATAAGAAATATAATGATGAAATTCACGTCATCCTTTGTGCCACAAGCCATGTCTTGTTCACCTAATGTCTTAAAAATCTGTGAATAGTGTAGCCCATGGCTACCACACCTCGTGATGTCAACTGTGCCATTGCTATGCAAGTTGTGTCAAGAGTTAATGTGCAAACAGTGGTAGACTAAAGATGTATTCAGATCAACGCATTGCCTCCATTATTTTTAGGACCGTGGGCGGACCTGTAGAGGAATGCCCATGACAATGCAGTTCACCTGGCAGTCTGATATCTTCTTGACCCAGGAGACGTTACTAGAAATGGTGAGTGGGTTTTTGTCATACGCATTGACTGTGAACAAAGACGGTCCACTTAATACCTGTAAAGCAGTGTTGTACGGTAGGGCTTGAGTCCACTTTATGCTAGACTAAAGCTAAGACTTGGGGCTTGATCTTCAAGAACGGTGGGTTTATGCACAAAATAGATTAAAAGGAGCTTTCCAAAGATTGCTTTAGTTTTCCCCTCAGCTTCAGGTTTAGAGGGTTTTTAATCCCCACAGGTAAGACCATTAAGCCACATGCAAAAAGTGTACTGACACCTGTTGCTGGAATGCTCAACATATGGCCAATATTTGTCTAGCCCTAGCCTGGTCATCATCACATACTGATTCTGCAAGAAACCTTTGTACCCTCGATCAGGTGGTGTAATTATCCCACTTGTTTTCTATTTATCACTCACAGAAATACCTGGTTGACTTCTACAAGGACAGTCCCGATATGGTGCAATTCTCAGAGCCATGGTTCAAATCTGAAACATTCCTTGACAAACTGAAGGTAATCCCCGCACAATTCACACCCGCTTATTAGCTTCGTTGTGTCAAACCCAAGATTTCATGAAAAATTTTGCCTACAACAGACCTGCCGATTTTGCTGATTTCCTATGGGAATTTATTGATAAATACAACCGTACGTTTTCTTCCCCCATAAAATATGGGTTTTAGCCATTTTCACACACCTGCAAAAACTTGTAGTTCAACGGTTGCAAATGTAATATTATGCTAAAAAAACCGGCTGTGAGTGTAGAGTGTAACATGATATTTTCGCAGCGGTCTCGGGTCTCCAAACGAACGTTTGCGCTGTTATGCACACAATTGAATCAAATGTACATGCATGCATGCGTACATGTAATGTACAGGTTTTTTCAGTGCAGCTCAAAGTGCAAGCCTCGTGTGTACATAGCATCCTGGGAACCACCTGATCATTGTGTTGTAATTGGCTGCCTATGGAATATCAGTGTTCATATATGTGTCAGTGGGACTCCTTTCTGCCGTTCTGCATCAGGGGAAATAGTGACTAACAATCTCCACTATTACTCATGGTAGCATGCATTTCACCATAAATTTGCGACTTGAAATAAGGTTAGTAATTTTTTGCTGTCTCTGATTGAGGGCTTTGTGACAAGTGCTGTGGGCCAAAGTTCTACAGTCATGCATTATGCAAAATGCAAAATGTCAGTGCAACACGTGTGTATAAATTGTCTAAAGGGGCTTTGACTTGGATGCAATCATTGACAAGACAGATCCTCAAGTTACAAATCTGCAGAAATGGAAGTGGATAGATACACCATACTAGATGGCCAGGCGATACAATCCGTGCTTGGAAAATCCAAACACCTCGACATGCATTGCGAATTCTTTATAAAAAAGGATTCAAATTTTGAAAACATGGTCGAATCAGCCGGGAAAAGAGCCAACTCACTCTACAATCCTCGATAATGGATTATCCGCGTGATTATTTTTATGCGTGAAGTGTTGACCCAATCCAGAGTTGGTCAAACCGATCACGGAGGAATTGTTGATTATATTGAAAAACACAATTTCTTAATGAAAAGTACAACTAACAGATTTTTAAATTACAGTTTTGTGATCCCAGAGGTTCACAGGTCTGCTGCAATCTTTTTCAAGTACTGCGTTGGCAGTGCATGTGATGTGGTAATTGTGGGCTACATGAAAGCCTGTATCCCTTCCATTTGTTTTCTCCAGGGTTCACTGATGAAGAAGTTCCCCAAAGACCAGACTGACGGCAGGCTGCTGGAATACATCCACAATCTTCTAGTCACCCCAGCCACATAGCACCAGCCTTATTTAGACCTACCGGTAGCATGAGATACACGGAGGGGATCCGAGGGGCAAGACGTGGGTTGATAGAGTGAGCAAGATGGACCAGAAATCTAGATGAGGCAGCAAGGAGAGGAGAAAAAGCTTCTTGCGAAAGATAGAGCCAGGTTCAACCTGAATTCCAAGCACATTCAACCTGAAATTGAGTACACTGCGCTGAGACCACAGAAAGGAATTGACATCCGTTGATTTGTGATGATGACTGGAAAGGTAATTGTTCCAAACTGGCATTATTGTTTGGTGTCATGTTCTAGATGCGAAGAGCTGTGTATCTTACCAACGAGTGGAAGTGTGGGCAAGGGCATTGGTGTGGGCAGCGATGGTTACACATACATGCAAACTGCTTTGTCGTTGTCAAGATCCCTCCTTTTCCCGGTCTTTTGGCCAGATGTACCTGTAAAAAACCCCAAATGTATGATGTACATTGTACTCATCCTACTTGTGTGGGTTTCAGAGAAGTGTCTTATATGGAGAACTTGAGGCATGGAATGGTACAGAATTTCCATCAGGTTTTTATTTTCCTTGTATTACAAGGTGGGCCCAAAGACTGCACATGGCCAAGAGTGCCTTGGTCCAAATGATCAGCACCCTTGGTACCTTTGTATTATCTTTTGTCACCCAGCCGGCGTCTTTAAACCTGTACACATTCCTCCCAGCATGCAAGCTTCTTGGCAAGAAGAAATGGAAGCAAACTGTCGTGCTTTGAGAATGTAGCATCTTTCTCTCCCAGTCACCTTTATAACCATAGTCTTAATACTTACTAACTTTGCTGGTGCATCTATGCAGTTTCCCCTGTATGAAATGCAGGCAGCCTGTGGTGGCAGGGCTTGTCAGATCCAGGGAAGCCATACAAACTGCTTCCCGAAATACTGAATTCTTCTGTATGATTCTGTACCTTTGTCAGATCTTTGCTTGTTGGCTTCCATGAAGGTTACATGGTAACATATTCTTTTTGCATAGTCGTGGAGACCAACCACGTGGTTTTTTGCAAATAGTGAATGTCTGAGGCCCATTTACTAGCATGCATGGTGCTGGAAAGTGGTAACAGAATGGAGTAACGTTGCGCAATCGCTTACATTTACACAGGAGCAGAAACCCATTTGGTATTTATGTTAATGATATTGCGCATTCACGTATCAACCAGGGCCCAATTTCACGGAGCTGCATAACAATTAGTAGAAACGTTTTGCCAACTTAAGCAGAAAACCTTGATAACATTAACCACTTTGCGCCACGCCCATGTATCCATGTCGATTCTGCTCGGCCGGGTGCCACAAACAGTGGTATAATCTTTCAAAACAGTGACGGATTTCCTTTGCTATTGGCAACTGTAAAAATGTTGGAAATTCCCAACAGCTCGGTCTTTTGTTCCAAGTAAAGTCTTTTGTTAAAAGGCCCAGTTCCCTTTGTCCCATAAGCCACTTGCGAGTTAAATTTGAATAAAACCTGGTACCCTGTGTTATCTGATTGCATAGAAACGTAACCATTTGAGTTCCCCAGACTAAAGACAAGCTTTTGCGTAACGACCACCATCTCTGGAATGGACTGGTTCCTTTGTGCCATTCTTATCCATTGAGAACAGTGTATTGTTGCAAGCCGTCTCTTATGTAACTAAGGGAAAGCTTGCCCCGAATCACGAAGTATAGCAACAGTGGTTTTAGTATGGAGAATTCCAATAGTTATGTTCACGTGAATTTAAAGAACCCAGTGTACCAGATTTTACTCAAATTTAACTCGCAAAAGGCTTATTTGAGGCACCCAGTCTGTGCATATAAAGCCAACGTCTCCAAAATTGGGCTCTCCGGCAGCAAGTGGTTAAGCACTATTTCATGGCGGTGCTTGGCATGTAGTTATTTCACATGGTCCATGGGGATGGAAAGTAGACAGTGCCTTTTCAAAACTACTCAATTCAACAATGCTCCCAAAGTTGGAACAAACTAACAGGAAAGTGACAAATACAGGTTAAATTCAGTAAGTTTCTGTACACGAAAACAAAATAAAAATGACACCAAAGCAATAAGATACAGGTTTAGACAACTATTTCCTTCTCTTTTTTCTAATAAAAGCGCCTTTGTTCTCGTGTGCTGTGACCTCCCCCCCCCGATTCCTTTTTGAATCAATTATGCATTCTTCAAAATTTCCATCAACCTGTTTGCTAAATGTGTATTTAATTTCTTTCAACCCGTGTCTGCATCCAGGCCAAAGTTGCAAAATGTTTTACCAGATTTAAGCACTACGTTGTCACCCACTTCATAAGTGACTACAGGCAAGTGATCACACATGGAGAAATAGCAATAATACTTACTGTAAAAAGGGGGAAAGTGTGACATTTAACTTTGCATTTTGATAAAGGATGGCCTTTGTGGTGCTGTCTAGTTATAACAAGGGGTTTTGCAGTGTTTGCAATTCTGGCCTGTGTGTGTCCTAGCTATGTGTCATTACATGTTGCACTAGTATCGCATTTGCAGTTGTATTTTGTTTTAAAATAAGATTCAATTCCAAGATGGCTTCTCATATCAGGCCTGATACTCGGGCTTTTCCAAAAGGGAATGTTTGTGATGGAACAAAGGATATTTTTCTAGTCAGATGTAAAGTTTCATAAGTAACTTTTTCACCGGATTAAAGCAAGTGCTGAGTGTGTAAGAAAAAACTAATACAAATAACGGCCTCTTGACATGGCTCAGGCAGATGAGATCCTGAAATTCTCGAAATTTTCAAATGTCAATCTACCTCGAACGTTTTGTACCAGGTAAGCAACTAAGCATTATGATCGTAAAACTTTTTCTGAACAGTTGAAAGTTGCTGTTTGTTTTCCTCCTGAGGTTCAAACCTTTTTCTTATAGATTACACGTGTGTGACAGTCAGTAGATTTATGCAACTGTAAAGAAAATTAGAAATATTTATTCAGTGTTAGTGATTATATAAATGTTCACAGTTAAGAAAACGTGTCAGATCTGAAAAAAATTGATTTGAATCTCTGTCAATGCCATTGCGATAATAAAGTACAAGTTAACAGAACTGCTCTAGAAACTTTTGTATTTAACATCTGGTTGAAGTATAAGGCATATGGTAATAACCAATTCATACGAGTTATAATAATATAAAAGACCTCTGTGGTATGTACTACATGAAAGTTGCACATAAACTGTGCTGAATCTAATTAAATGTTCTTAGTCACAGGCTGGTTTGGCCCATTAACAGGTGCATTGTGCCCCCCTGGTATGAACATCAGGTGCCAGACTGCCTGAAGTAACTGAGCTAGATAATGGGACTTTGGCATGGAAAGTGTGTAGTGATGAAAACATCTGTAATGTAAACGCGGCATCAGTGCACAGCCTTTTCCATATCTCTTTAACAGAGGCCAGGGTCAACTTTCGTCGAGATGCAAAGCAGACTTGAACACTACCAGTTCGTAATTCTTTGGCCGGTCACTTTTTTAGGCTTACAATGCAACTTACCTGGGTTTGGACTTTTGGAGATTGATATGTTCTGTGATCAGCAATGGGACCCCTTCGCACATGCAACTGGTGTCTGACCTTCCTAACATGATTGATCTCGCACAAGTCATCCACAGAATTCAAACAGATGTCACTTTTGTGAAACTTAGAACTTGTACCTTTCAGTTTATGGGTAGTTAATTGAAATTAAGGCCTTTAGACTTTGTGGTATTCATTGAAATGGAAGTGGAAAACGCTTGCATCTGAATATGCCAGTCTATTACATTGTAGTTTGTGCTTAAAAAGTGAGCAGTGTATTCAAACTTTCTACCATAATTTGCCTTATAATTGTTAGTCCAAGGTGACTCTAACCTTAATTTAAAATCTGCAAGTACCAAAGAATCTATAATGAAATCTTTTTCCTGTCGATATGTATATTGAAATGTATGTAAATAGTTTTCCATTTCTACTAGGCAACAGAGAGAAAAAGAACGTTCGAAAAAAATGGCATCAGTGGGGATGTCTTGTATTTTCTCAGATTATGCATTTCCCAAGACAGCACTTTAAGAAGTAGTACTAAAGTTAATGCATGTAGTGTTTATTCACATTATGGACGTCCAGAAAATGGTAGAGTGATCCATGTAAAGGACTTGTAATTATGATACTCCATTATTTCAAATTGTGTGAACAGTCACTCTTGATAGAATAGTCTTTGGGAGATAAGATAAACAAGGGCACCTACATATCCAAACTGATATGAACTTCCGTTCACTGTCAAGCCCTGTATGTACTGTCCTCTTGTTTTCAAGGTTGTACTCATTCCTTTTATGCGGGGACTTGTCCGGCAGTGTGTGAAAAATTCAGTTTTTCCCCTTTTTTTTCCTGAATGTAGCAGCTGGTTTAGACTTAAAAATTGTTGATCTATAGAATTGCATCTGAGTTGCAGAAAGGGATGAGGCAAGAGGGCGGTGCTTTGAACTGACTTTACTTTGGAGGTCAAACTGATTATCAAACTGCCTGCCTGTGACATAATGCCAGACAACCCATGAGGCATATGCAGTGTGGTGATATCTGCCTGTGACATAATGCCAGGCGATATGCTGCAGCCTTGAACTTGCCCTATGGCTGATTTCCAGAGAGAAATTCAGGTGCAGAATCTATCACACCGTCCCGCTTTGATTTTTTTTTTCCATATTGGGGGGGGGTTCATTCCTCTGACTTAATACTGACCTCGAAGGACATTTTTTGTTTATTTCTTTGAAGTCATGTTTAATCATAGCAATGGCTTACGACTGTTACCCCAAGACGTGGGAAGGTCTCCACTTTTGAATCATAATCGGTTGGTGGAATACCAAGACTGTATTTTAATCACCGCTTTGATTGTGTCACCAATTTTTCCTTGTTTTCCCCTAACAATTCTGTTGTAGGATACCGCAATGATGATTGGATCAGTATTCAGTGTAAAGCCAATGTGTTTGGCGACTGGTCGGTTGGTTTATTGAGTAACCTCAATGAATTTGTCAAGCCTTAACATTATACATGCATTTTGTATCACGTCCATTTGGTTTCATTTTATTCATTGAGTTTCGCATTTCGGGCGAGACATAATAAATATATAGAAAGTATTGTGTTTAAACCTATTTTCAGTAGAGCAACTTGTGTCATTCCAAACCAAAAACTTAGTAGGAGTAAAATTAGTAAAGGGGCTCAAGAAAAAGTTCCCTGAGATATGAGTACATGTACCATTCAGTGTGGTTGAATTTAATTAACCTGGCTGTCATTTTCTGAATCAGAGTTACACTGTTTGAGGGATTAGTATGGCACATTGTTCTGAATATATTCTGGAAAGCATGGATTTTTATGCATTTTGTAAATGTTTGCTGTGTTGGCTTAATAAAAGCAATAGCCATAAATTTAAGATTTCTCTTAAAATACGAGTATTGAGAACTCTTTTCTTTAGTTGGCAGTGAATTTAAAGTTTGGGTGGAGAAATCTAGTGTTTAATTTTAATGTTGAGCAATTTCGAACCCATTACTGAACTTTGATTTTCTGAAGTAAGTTGGGCCCTATAGTTTCGAAATTGGTGTTTAACACTAGATCTTTGAACAACATCGCCGTAGTGCATTTTTCTCTCAGGAGCTGAACCTTTAGGAGTTTTTAGAGTAATTCTCTGCGGTCATTTCGACACCATTCTGCGAAAATCAAACAGACTGTTCTTGCACAGCGTGCATTTTTCAGAAACAGGTCAGCCAAAACTACTTTTTCACTGCGGTGCTGAATGCAAGCGGGCTAGCACGCATGAAGCCTTGAACTTCAAATGACCGTAAAACAAAATCATATGTCTGATTGAGTTCAAAATTCACGTTGTATATTGTTAAGGAGTTTCTTTACATGTGTTAGAAGTTTCAAATAAATCAAACGTGGCACAACTGAGTTCTTGGGGGGGGGTTGAATCTGTTCCCCGGCTGAGATGGGCCAAAATAACCTGTCTCCTTGAGGGTTAAGTTAAAGGCGCCTTTCCATATGCGCGTCAACACTTGCGCCAAGCGTTGCGTATCCGTCAAAATCGCTCCCGGACGACCGAACGCAACGTATACGTGTGTTATATTAATGAAATAGATTTATGTGTCCGTAAAAGTGACACGCATGAAGGCATCGTGTACGCAACACATCCTAAAACTTACATAGTTATAGAAAGGCTCTTGAAGAGGTTAAGATTGATTTCGGTAAAATGTACTGTTATCACAAGATGTTGCTGTGGTCACTAAATTCTGTAGACAGCATTTCCTGACCCAACGTCTTGCATACCGTTTTGCTTACCATTATTGAGATTTGACGGACGAAAGACAGATTTGAAAACTGCTTACAATCAAATTGTTGAAAACAGTAAATTGATGAACAAACTCTTTCTAAATAACCGCTTTTTGGTCGGGTATAATTTAGGTTGTAGCACCAGTTTCATGCGCCGTGCATGAGTCATATAAACCCTTGCTCTACAAAAGAGGAATCTATGCTGCTACATGATGTTTTACCTTGCGACTGGGTTTAACTAAACGTAGCCACTCCCTCTTCAAACAAACAAGAGCGAGACCTTCGGCTATACGAAATGACAGAAGACTATTAATTATGTGCATGAAATTCCAAAAATGTCTTCTCGTTTTGTATTCCCAAGTTCAGGATTGCTATATCCGCAAAAACCAATACAGGTTCAAAGGCAGACTTTTAGGCTAGATATATATAAACTAACCAGAAACGTTGTTACTCATTTCTTACCGTGTATTCTGTTCTAATCATAGCAACGTTTACGTCTCAATGGACCTTTAGGGCTTTCTGTATACCGATAGAATGTGTTTTATTCGAAAAATGAACTGCAAGTGTTTGGGTATAGTTACATGTAATAAGAAGATGTGCAGTAGGGGGCCTACTAGCTCAGGGTGTGCAGGGCTGTAGAGCCACCGTAACTGTTCAGTGATTTCTTTTAACAAAACTGAAAGAAAATGTCTTTAAACTGTCCTCAACCATCACTTAGGGCGGGGTTTGAATTGTACTGTCATGCATGCGATCAAGACGGTATGCTGGACCCAAGTAAAAAAAACCCAAAACATAAAACAAAAACAGCTGCGGCACGGCACGACCTTTAAAGAAGGGGGCAGTGTGACACCATCAGGCATAGTCCGCCATTAAAGGACAGATATCCATTAGGCGCCCCGCCCCATTGTTAGACCTCCTGACAATAGGGGCGTGCCCGGCCCAAGCCAAAAACGTTTGTGGGGGTGGCACTTGCCCCTCTGCTCCCCGGGTTGCTTCGGCGGAGGGATTCGAACCTGAGATTATCGGTTCGACAACCCAGACCGCCCGGCGTTTTTGGCAAATGCTCGGATTATTTTCAATGGTCAGCAAAGTCTGTACATGTAATTCAGTCATAAACAATGAAAATCTTTACTAATTATAAAAAAGTCCACCATTGAAATGCCTTGTCAAAAATATGAATGAAGTCCTTGAGCTTGCAGTTTTCGTCGCTGACGTAAATCTAGCTGCACCTGGAATTGAGGGCGGTATTTGGGATTGGGGATTGTGGGGGATGACTTGCCCGATCGAATTTTGAGAAGTGCTGAGGGCCGCGGCAGAGAGTGTTGACACCATATAATTCTAGGGGATAGTGCTCATTGTTCAGATATACAGCCGTCATGTGTAATTACACTCCTACAGAGCCTTACATTATTATAAAAACAGCGTATCTACTGATTTTACTTTTTTCCCCTTCTTTTTGAGTGCTATTCATACATTTTGGTTGTTGAGATGTAAAACAGAAAATCCGCCTGAATTTTTCTCAACACGAAAACGTAGCCCACCGCAACCTCAAGGTGGGAGATATGTATCCACCATCCCCCCAAGATTTACGCGTTTGGTTTTAATCTTAAATACAAAGAAATTTAATGTAGTGGGGATTTGAGCCTGCGACACCCAGGACACTGTACCAGCGCTAGCGGCTCTATCAAGTGAGTTTCCCGGTCCAGCCTGTGGAGTTCCCCATGCATCCTTACTTGACCGGGGGGGGGGGCTAGCCAGAAAAAAGCTATTAAACTCGGAGCAAATATCCAGAGATCACGCCCAAAGAATGTAAGCTACTTTAAAGTTGCGAAACTGGGAACACGGTCGTCTGTTTTGAACGGGAATGATCACTGATGGAGGCAAGGCTGTCTCATCAAACACTCAACCAGGGAAAAACCTAGTCGGTCAGTTTTCTTGTGTATTCAGGTTTGTTGGATGATTTATTCTCTTTGAGGTCATACGAAATTTGTCGATACAGATTGCTTATAATAGTTTAGTGCTATTGTAGGCCAACCCCTTTTGACCTACCAACTATTTCTATCGGATTAATGATCTGACGGACGCTCGTTTTTGCTTTTTAATATGCAGTGTAGGCTGGTATCGAGTCTAGAGAATACAAATCTCCCATAATGCATAGCGCCCCCACGATATCATGGAATGGTGATCGTCGACTGCAGAGTGCCAAATTTTGTTTCTGCGGGGGAAGAAAGTGGAAAGGCCTTTCCTGTTTGGATGTGGATCGCCCCTGCCGAAAGCTTAGGGCCTTCATTCAGGTAAACCCTACTTAACATGAGCAGTGAGTGATTCTCCACAGTCAGAACAGTGAGTGTCAACACAGGCACACGACAGGAGTGGCACAGCCTCAGCAGCTTAGCTTAGATCTGTCAAGTGTTGGGTCATTGTGTAGGCTACATGCGTGTCAAGTACATGTACATGTTATACAGTACTGTAAGCAGGGCCTACGTCTTGTGCATTAGTGTGGGACGAGGCCGGCCATGTACAGTGTACATGTACACGTACGTTGCTTCGTCATGACGGTGGCCATGGTGGCTGTGTGGGGTAGACTTTCAATTCCTCCATGTATATACGGACGCCTGGCAGTAATTATTCCCTACAGTGACCTATAAATTGCTAGCCATCAGAAAGCAAAAAACATGCCCGGAAAAGTTCATTTTTGGAGGGAAAATAGTTCAAAATCCCATTACCAAGTCATTTACTGAGAAAACACTTAGTAAAGGTGGGGGTATTTGACCACATAAGAGAAACGCAAGAAATTCGACCAGATGTGTAGTTTTCGAATGCAGTTGGTCGAATTTTCCACCTGGTCGAAAATTCCTGCACTCACCCTACTGACTTGGGCCTAGATTAGAAGTAGAAGTAGAACTTTTCAGACCAGTCACTTGCCAGTCATGCCAGTCTCATACATGTACATGTACTTACCCGGCACTAGTCATACAGTGGCACATTTTACTGGGTTTGTGCAAAGGGTGTCAAGTTGCGTCTGTATCGTATAGAACTCTTTCCGCTGTGTGCCCTGCACATGTATGTCTATGCCTACAGAATCTTGAAGAAGTGGATGTGTTCATTCATTTGGAAGCCTCATCTCTTACTATTCTTTATGTTTTAAATGTTAACTTGGAAAGAGTTCCACCATGTCCACAGTATGTACATGTACCTGTACATGTATAGCCTAGCCTGTGCTATGGGCAACACTAAATAAGACCTAATTTCCCTTAAAATGTCACAGGCCTAAACAGCCATTGCATTATGGGCCTAGAAAGGGATAACATGTCCTAAAAAGTGAAATGTAGCAGGGAAATTCCCAAACATTTAGTTACTTAGAAAACACTTGCGATCAAACTTACCGCTTTTGTAGGTTTTTTCTGGCAAGTCTCATACTTGTGCACAGAGGCATCAAGTGTTGTCCGCATGTGGAACTCTTTCCGTTAACTGATTCACTGCAGCATGAACTCTTAACCTTTACATCAAATATGCCTGAAATTTCACTGTTTATGGGCTGTGAAATTGTGAATATCTCCCACACTGTTCCGAAAAGATTTCAGTTGTTTTGATCATGTTGCAGCAAAAAATGAGGAAAACATACAAATCTGCATACAAAGTGAATGGAGGGTTGCCCCTTTGCCCAGACCGTGAATGCAATAAGTGGACCAACCTCTGATCAAGACCTTATCCTGCCACCCCGCGTAATCAACCTCATACTGGTAGTCAGGTAGAGGTGAAAGTGACATACTCTCCTCATGTGATTTACACCTGGTATTCAAGTAACCAGTCATTCCAAGGCTCCTTTTTTTCGAGTGGCAGGGAATTCTGCAGTTACACCTATTACTCTGTATTCATTCCCTATGCATGTGCATGTTGGAGTCCAGAGGGGGGCAATAAAGAACAGCCACCACTGGCCAGTCATCACTCTAGTTGGAACGATTAACTGCCGTGATAAAAAATACAATGTCAACCAGCTGTCTATCACACTCTGACCATTATACCGCGGTGAGGAGCTTGCAATTGACGCATGTACGTGTACCCTTGTGAATAACGGCCTGAGCGGCCAAGAGGTTGGCGTGAAAATGTTGTTAAACTGCTGTGAGTTACAGCTAGTCCTATGCCAAGGTGACCTACCGGTACCGGTACATTGTCTTTCCACCGTGAAAACGGGCTAACGTGTACATGTACATTACCTTTGAAAATATATCACGGTGATTTCATGGTGTTGAAAGTTCATAGTGTATGGCCTACAGTTTTTTGACTGTGTCGTGAACCATGAAAAGTGCTGCATACACATGTAGTGCCTATTGCTTTTGCACTGGCTTGACAACTGCAGGACTCTTGAAATTTCATCATGACAGCTATAAGTTCCGTGTTCAAATTTCACAAGTTCATTGCACATACGTGTACATACATGTACACGTGGGTGGAATTTGACTTTGTTCTGGCTTGTTGTACATGTATGTAATGAAAAACGATTTGAAATGTAAGTAATGAAATTACAAGATCTTTGTTTTAAAAATTGCTTTAGGGCTCATGGTTTAAATCACATTGGATACAGA